CCCATACCGTCTTGCGATATTCGCAGTAATAATTGAGAAATTAATTGTAAAAGATTAAAGAAAAACGCACGCTGAATGGTTGAGAGTGGAGCGCTCGCGGCCTTATTAATATACGCACAAATGTCGGCGCGCGGTGATTGGAAAAACAACGTATCATTGCCTATATTTATATCGCTGCACTCCTACATCTCGCTTCGGCGCGGTGCGGTAAGACGTAGGATCAGAGGATATAAGACGCTGATATCTGCGTGCAATATCACTGGATCACAAGCGTTACTCCCTCAACCATTCAGCGTACGTTTTTACTTAATCTTTTATAATTAATTTCTCGGTTATTATTACGAAATCGCAAAACGGTATAGGACTTTTATATTCATCTCAACTCGTTCTACATTCCCACTTAATGTGATAAAGAGTTTGAGACACCCTGTATATATATACACATATTCATGTATATGTATTCCCCTTTTCCCCAGATCGCAATTGTAACAAGAAGAAGCAGAGAATCTACGTCGACGAGACATGGCGCCGCAGAAACAATACACCAGGAGCGAAGTGGCGAATAACAACGACGCGGACAAGGTCCTACTGATCTTACACGACAAAGTATACAACGTTCACAGTTTTCTCAACGAGCATCCGGGCGGTGAGGAAGTCTTAAACGACCACAAAGGCGTAGACGGCTCTGAGGACTTCAATGACGTCGGTCACTCGAACGACGCCTTGGATCTGATGAAGAAGTACCAGGTCGGTGAGGTCGTCGAATCAGAAAGGTTGAACCAGCCGATGAAGAAGGGCTGGGTGGCGGGATACAACAAAAAGACGCCGGAAAAATACGTCCAAGGACCTGGTGTACCCTTCTATCTGCTCGCCGGTGGGATTGTGTTCATATTGGCTCTTTACTACTACCTATTTTAAAACAATCGTCCATTCTTACGTACGCGTAATCGTGATGGCACTGTAGGTGCGAGAAAATGTGATAAATGGACGGTGGATGACAGAACGTTCTCGCGCCGTTTCGTCCTCGACCGACGAAACGCACATCGCGACAATGCTTGCTTCTCGCAATCGCGATTGCTTCTCGAGACGGCAATTGTCCATACACAGAGAGAGAACTGTCATGATTGCTAAAACCACATTCTTTATGATTAAGGCAAACATTTCTGCGAATTCAAGTTGTGGCTGTTACATGTCCATCTATGCGGTTCTTACGGCTAATTTTTATGATATATATAATATTCAATTAGTATAGTTGCGTTAATTGCAACAACATTGCCGTCCCTCTGTTATGCTCTACAGAACGAGTACTATGGTTAAGAGATCCGTATATCAAACTTGGCTGCACCATAATAGCATTGAGAATTCTATTATGTAGAATTCTGGTATGTACTCAAGCACTGACGACTATGGGCAAGCAATAAAGAAGACCAATGTACCACTTCCAGAATACTATGGTTTCTACACTGAGAGAATAAATATCTAAGAAATAAAAATATCTAAGAAATACTTATTCGGATGGTACCTGTAATATTTACTTATATTAGTGTAAAATATTTTTCTTATATTAGTGTAAAAAAAAAATATATATATATATATATTTGTGTTAGAAAAAATATATTTCCTAATATATATTTCGTTAAAACCTTAGTTTTTCATAAAAGCTATTGTTTATCTCATTCAAATGAAAAAATTAGATTTGAGCAAATATGTGTGTGTTATCAGTGCCCGAATAAATATGTTTTGCTTCTTAGATATTTCTTCTCTCAGTGTACGACCTTTATAGACATGGGCGAGAAGTGACATTAATATTTTGTCGCGACAACCACATTTAGTTAGGTGATGTCCCTCTAGTGTTTCCTCCGTCTTATACGTCTTCTACGCGACGAATCCGTCACAAGTAATGTCCAGTTTTTCTTTACGAAAATGTTGATTTTTATAAGAATTAAGAGAGAAAAGTATACGCAAATTAAAATCAATGATTCTATAAAAATTTGTAAAAATATATAATTATTTTATACTTATGTATGCATGTTTATGCGAATGTATCGATATCCTTTTTCACAAGATCGACCGAGAGACGGCGGTTTTTGTCAAAATCACGGGAAACTTTCGCACGAATCGAGCCGACTTCACCGTCGAATCAAGAGCGTTCTTATGTAAGTAACAGAGTTTATCATTGCGGATGGAGATCTTACCCGCCGTCGAACGAATTTTTACCGGACGCAATCGCCGCGAATCGCTTTAGTGCGAGACACTTGGCGAAATTTACATGTGAATCACAACAAATAAATAAAAAAGGAAAAGACCCTGCGCGACAATCTCGCGATGATTGCACCACGGCGGAAATAAGATATTCAAACTGACAAAAGTTTGCTTCCACGGCTGTTCTAAAGGGGAATTTTTACGAAACATTTATGAGAAAATTACATGCGTTAATGACGAATTCGAGCACTAGTGCGCACCGGTGCATACTAAGACCGTTTTTATATTTAAGATCGTGTTAAGTTCGCCAACGAATGCTCCGTAACCAGTGCAACTGTTTGTACAGCATCTAAAGATGAATGTAAGACAATTTTAAATATAAGATAAACATAGCTGAAATACAAGAACAGACTATGAATCGATCTTAGTGTGCATTGCTACGCACTAGTGCTTCCAATCGAATTCGCCATAAATGTAGAGAGATATCTCGAGTTATGAAACGTACATGTGCTTTTTTTTTTATCAGTCCTCATGACCTATACCGAATATTATTCAATTGGTCAATCCTCAGACGACTTTCTTATCTATAAGAGATAATGTTATCAATTTGCAGAGATCTTAATTATATCACTATCAATTAGTGTTTACCTTTTAAATTATCGCAAGTAAACATTGCTCGTACGCGAGCTCAAAAACTTCTGCCTTTTCAAAAGTTACTGTAAGATTCTACAAGAGAATATTGCGCTTAGAATTTTTTCCTTTAGATTTCAGGAGAACCTTCTCGAGGCCACATACAGGAGTGAAAGTTTCTAGGATTCAGAGGACTCAGCTAAGAATGAGATTATATTTTTTAGAGTGTAAATCTATCTGGCCTTTCTGTGTACATTTTTCCTCTCTCTTCCCGTTCGATTACCCGTGAAGAGGCGTGCGGATCGATGAGCAATAGCGATCGGACTAATTGGAACAGTCGGGGACGTTAATGAAGGAGACCGTGTGTCAGTGTTAATTGGAGCATAAGAATTTAACAACACACATACGCGAAGTTCAGAAAAAGAAGGGGAGCGTGGGAAGAGCGACGAGATCTAAATGACCACCATGTGCATGTCGATGACGAATATGGTCGTGCCATGAGTGTTAATTGTGACAATTGTATGTTCGCGCGCGTGGTAAGAAACGCTTATTTAAATAAGGCTACGTAAGCAGTTATTTCAACGTCCTTTCGGCGCGGCTAGCAACGTGCTGTTTCGTTCACTCGGTAGGCAGACTGGCAGAGCAGGTAAGTAGACGTACAATGTGCCACGCGTAATTGTCGTGCCCATCGACGCTAATTGTAGCGCTCGACGCGGATGTTACTTGGCCGTCCACGTGCCGGCGCTTACACGTTCGCCGGCTCGAGATCCAT